GCTGGAGGGTTGGGGGGGGGGGATGGGCTAAATGGGTAAGTGGCATTAAAGAAGACACTTGTTGAGATGAGCACCGGGTGTTATACATAGAGGACGAATCACTGGAATCTACTCCTGAAATCATTACTGCACTACGTGCTAACTAACTTAGATGTAAATTAACAAATAAATTAAAAACAAAAAAGTTCAAAACCAGCAAGTGGTTTTTTCCAAACTGTAGGTACTTACCATTAGTAAGTCATGAAATCTATTTACAGCATGGTGACCACCAATTTTTTAAATTAAGGAATAAAATAGATCAGGGTACACTGTCCATAGAAAGGATAGGTATGGTTTCATAAAACTTGAGTTTAAATTTTATATATAGAACTAATTGTGTATGAGTATATGTATAAATTGCATGTTTATGTGTAACACAGATGGGGAGATAAGTATTTCTTAACTGTATGTCTCGGTGAAAAAAGTTTGAAAAGCACTAGAAGAGACCACAATGGTAGAATTTTTGAATAAATCCTACAGCAGAACCTTAAGAATAAAACAGTATGCCTTAAAATCCTGACCTAAGATATGACTGTAAACACAAATTTGAGAACAGTATATATAGTATGGGCTCAAATGTAAGTATACGAATATATACATGCATGTATATATAATATCTTTTTAAAAATTATTATGTTGTAATTATTTATAATATATATCACAAGGTCTTCTAGGGTACCCATTTTTTGAAGTGCTTCTTCTTGGACTGGAGGAAGTAGCAGGCACTTTATTGTTTTTTTGTTTCTTTTTTAGTAAGTTCTATGCCCAACATGGGGCCTGAACTCATGACCCCAAGATCTAGAGTTGCATGCTCCACCAACTGAGCCAGCCAGGTGCCAGATTTTTTTTTTTTAATGTTTATTTACTTTTGAGACAGAGAGAGAGCCTGCACAACCAGAGGAGGGGCAGAAAGAGGGGACAGAGGATCTGAAGTGGGTTCTGCTGATAGCAGTGAGCCCAATCCAGGGTTTGAACTGACAAACCGTGAGGTCACAACCTGAGCCGAAGTCAGACACTCAACCAACTAAGCCACCCAGGCACCCCTGATTCTTTGGGTTTTAAATGGAAGAAGCATATTGGGGCTCTAAATATGGTACCCCAAAAGCACAACACTCAGATTGTGAACGTGCCCCAAAATGCTTTAATGCTAGTGCTTACTCACCCACGCCAGCCTCCCCATAGCCCAGGTGGGGTGGGATGATCACTGTCCGTTTCTCTCCAACACACATCTCTCGGAGACCCATATCCATTCCCAACACAACTTGTCCAGATCCCAAAACAATATTATATGTTTTGCCTAAATTCCACCTGAAAATGAAACAGAAGAGTCCCTCGTTAGGTCATCAACCCATTGATATTTGAAAGCGTTTCCATGAAAAGGACCATCTCTTCTGCCACAGACACAGAACCCCTATCTAATCAGGAAGAAACATCAGACAAGAGCAAACTGAGAACGATTCTGCAAAAAATGAACCTGTAATCTTCAAAAGTGTCAAGGTGAAAATCAAGGAAAGGCTGAGGAACAAGTCCGGAGTATTGGAGAATATGGAGTGGGATCATTTTGCTATAAAAGACCTTCTGGGAACAAGTGGCAAAACTTAGGTGGGGTCTGGGGATTAAAACATGATGACGTATCAGTGTTAACTTTCTGGTTATAAAGTATGCGTTGAATTATGTAGGAGAATGTCGACATTTGTAGGAAATGGGTGATGGGACATCATGGTGGCAACCTATCCCCAGTGATTCGGGGGAAAAAAGAAGTCCTTCCTTCGTACTGCTCTTACAACTTTTCTCTATATTTTAATAAATATCCTAGTAAGGAGTTTTCATGAGAATTTGAAAAATACATAACCCTGTGTTTTGGATTTATGTGTTTTGGATTTATCAAGACCTGACTCTGAATCTTGCTTCTGCCACTTGATTGGATGCTGAAAAATAAAACCTCTCAATTTCCTCATCTATAAACTAGTGATAATAATAGCTACCTCACAGGGATATTCTCAACAGTAAATAACTCATGATGCTGGCACGGAGGAGAACAAGTATAAAGAGCTCAAAAAATGGATGGCCTTGAGTATGCGAAGTGCTTGTGTCTGCAATAGTTTTTGACTCTAAAAAAATGACCGAAAGTTTAACTTGAGCCACAGTTAAAGCATCCTTGATGTCCACGGTCCCTGAGACATCCACGTACAAGAGAGTTGCCTCTATCACCTCACTCACTACCGAAAATAAATCTAGTTCCAGAAAGTATGGCACTACCGCTTTCTTCTTCAATGTCAAGGAAGAAAAACCTCCCCAGTATCTTAGGGCTCCCTTGATGCCCATTTCCGGATGGTGACAACATGGAGGGGACAGCCCCCTCGGGTCACATCCCCTTCTCAGGCTTCCCAGCTTCCCCTGGGTGCAGGGCTACTTTCTCTTCTCAAGCTGGTTCCCAGGGCCAGGCTGGCTCTCTGGCACTGACAAACCAAAACAGGGTTTGCCTTTGTCCTACCTGGGACGAAACCAAAACAAAGCCAGCTCTGGCACCAGATGCCTTGGCCCAAGGCCTGTGGGAGGGAGCAGGACATCCTCTGTCCTGCCCCACACACAATTCCTCCTTTGTCAGCAGCACAGAGGCACCTTCACCCTGCCTTTCTCCGGGGACCGCTGGGACCTCCCATGGGAATACTCTGTTTCAAAGTCTTCCCGAATATTCAAAAACCTCATTTAGCTATCAAATAACAAATGTTTATTCTTCCTCTCTGAGGCCAGTTTAAACACACATGAAGAAAATCCTCCAAGCAAACATTTTGCTTTCACGTGTCATCTCTGAAAGCCCCACTAATTGTTTTTCCTCAGATCAACCGCTTGTGTAGTTATTTGTTTGTTTCCTGCCAGTTTTCCTCTGACATTCTTCTCATGCTTTCTGTGCATTCCTGGCTTCCCATCCACTGCAAGCTTCCTGCTTCCCACTTGTAGGCTGCCCTCTCTGGCTCTCCGCCCACGTTTCCCTCCATCCTCTCCACAGCCAGTTTCTCTCCGTGCTGATGAAAAAGCGCCCGCAGCAGCACCTGCCTCCTTGTTTACAACGCCCGTGGAAGGCTCGGGGTGGGACCAGGTCTTCCCTTCCTCTCCCACACACATCCCACCCTACATCCCATTTTCCCATTACTCTGAAGCTTACGCCCAGAACAGACCATCGGGGATGCCGGATGTTGCTCTTCATTGTAGATTTACACGTACCACAAACGACTCTCATGGTATAGAATGGAGTCTGATAAAAGGAAGGAGCCTCACATGGCTACCGGATGCTCTGTAGGAATGTTGTGAATCCACCAAACACATTAGAAGGCAGGAAGGCTGATTCCCCACCCTACATGAGAAGCATATCCTGAACCCACTGAGAAGGAATTCCTTTGTTCGTTTTCCACCCCCACTTCCCCTTCCCACCTACCCCCACCCAGCAGTCAGAGCACCAGACAAGAATATGAACATTAGCAAGACAATAACAGCAAGCCATTGACCTTCTAGACTACTCTAACCTTGTGGGCCATTTTCACGTGCATAAGCGTGCATAAACGTGCATAAGCGCGGGCTTAATCCCCCCAAACAACAAGGCATGCTTCTTTCCCACTGCCCTCCAAAGTCTTTTCATATTAATGCAATGAGGTTTGTTGTAAAGCAGGTCCGCGTAAATCTGCTCTCTGGAAGCTAGTATACACTTCACTGATTCTATAATGCACACATTTTCACATTTTAACATCTCTGTAATTGGGATACACTTCATAATTAACAGCATGTTAGTTTGGGGGCATTTTTACTTTCTTAGAGATACATAACATGATGCTTCTAATAACCAATACGTTTTAGATTGCATGAAATACAAGAAGTGCATTAGTATACGGGATCTCATAGCACCCAGAGAGAATGCTCTGAAGAGCACGTGTCCCTAGGGCTCTGTCTCCATGCCTGGCTCACTCTCTCCAGCCACACACAATGTTGCCTGAAGCTAGAAGGCAGAGGGGCAGGTGCGAGGCAGAGAAGGCCTTCCTCATGCAGCATAAATGCAGCAACCCATACTTATTTATGAAGCCCTTCTTTCTCCCCAAGCCCCAACTCAGGAGTCTAAGTCAGACTCGGTACAAAAATGGATAGATTTCTATGGAGATATAAAGAAAGGCTGAAAATGTTTCTTTCCCAGAGAATATTTTATTAACTTACAGCTATACCTAAAGATTCAGAAACATAAGAAGCAAAGCTCCTTTTACCAAAATTGGCAATGATATTAGATTATACTGTTGATTCCTATTAATAAAATTTCAGATTCATCTCAATCAGTTAACATTTATAAAATGCTCCCTTCGTGTTAAGACTCTGGGCTAGGTGTAAAGAATAAAAATGTGAATAAACATGCTGGGCATCTCTAAGGTATTCAGACCAGCAGCAGAGACAGAAACTAAAATAAATAATGAAAAATAAATAATTTTTGCTAATAAAAATAGTATCTTAAAACATTATGAGACACAGAAGTGCGAGCAGTTGATTCTTCCTAGGAATTAAGGAAAGATTTTGTGAAAAGGGAGGACATTTTTGCCAGGGCAGAAGTTGGTCAGAAGGAAGGGTTTAAGCAGTACACATCTTGCACCACTGCACATGGCAGCCCTAGAGGCAAAAGATGGGCCCTAACACAAGATAAGACCATTTAAGCAGAACAGAGCTGACAAATAGAGGCTGATGTGCCAGACTGAGGAGTTTGTAATGTAGCTGCAGGTTAATTTTTTTTTTTATTTTTATTTTTTTATTTTTATTTATTTATTTTTTTTAATTTTTTTTTTTCAACGTTTATTTATTTTGGGGACAGAGAGAGACAGAGCATGAACGGGGGAGGGGCAGAGAGAGAGGGAGACACAGAATCGGAAACAGGCTCCAGGCTCTGAGCCATCAGCCCAGAGCCTGACGCGGGGCTCGAACTCACGGACCACGAGATCGTGACCTGGCTGAAGTCGGACGCTTAACCGACTGTGCCACCAAGGCGCCGCTGCGGGTTAATTTTTAAAGAAAGCAGTTATAAGATGATACCCGTTTTTCAGAAAGACAATTTCACAGGACCAAGGTGAGACCATTCATAGGGAACTTTTAGAATAATGCACCTGAGCAGTGATGTAGGCTAGCTCTCTGCAGTGGGGAAGCATGGAGAGAAAAACTCTCAACCAGTATCTGATGAAAGAAAAGGAGAATCATGGGGACCTATGGCTGTTATCCTCCAAGCTCCCTCCTCTACTGTCCCCAGTGGTCCTTACGTGGAATCCAGCAGAGTCCCATCCAGAAGGGAGGCATTGTAGTGATACTTGAGGTAATCCCCCTTCTTACTCAGCACTGAGCAGTCCGGGGGCTTGTAGTGGGAGGTGATGCTGATGGAGTCTGAAGGGTTGTGGAAGTCAATCACATGGATGTCAAACACCAGCACAGCCGAGCCAGGGATATTCCCTAAAGGACAGACAGAGGAAATTAACGAGCAAGTCCTCCAAGTGGCAGCACATGTGCCTCCCCAGTGTCACCAGGCACGTCCTCACAGACCCCCAGTGAGAAACACAGGGACCTAAATATGAAAATCTAGGGAATACTGGGAGAATGAATTGGAAGGGCGGTCAGAAGTAACCTAACCCTCATTCTATACATGGGGAAACTGAGGCAAAGATTTGCCCAGGGTCATGCAACCAGTTAAGAACACAGTTTGGAGGGGCGCCTGGGTGGCTCAGTCGGTTAAGCGTCCAACTCTTGATTTCGGCTCAGGACATGATCTCACAATTCCAGGGATGGAGCCCTGTGTCAGGCTCTGTGCTGACAGCTTGGAGCCTGCTTGGGATTTCTCTCTAAATACATACATACATACATACATACATACATACATACATACATACATAAATAAACTTTAAGAACACAGTTTGGACTATAATTCAAGATGATGAGCTACTGCCCCATGGAATCACTAAGCCTGAAAGATGCATGGCTAAGTTCATCACAAATGAGGAAACTAAGGCTTGCCTGGCCCCTACCAGAAGTAAGAGGTGAAGTGAGAACACCAGCTGTAGAGTGAAAAATCACTCCAGTCCTCTATCACTGTGCAGGAGGAACTAAACTAACAGAAACTTCAGAGGGAAAAAAACACCCAGCCAAATTTGGCCCATACACACCCCTTGTGATAGGGCCTAACGGTTCACAAAGTACTTTTACAACACATCCTATCTGTTCTACACAAAATTATTAGTAAACTTTTCTTTTCCATTATCTCCACTTTTGAAAACATTACCTCACATCTGAATAATGTTTTATAGTCTACAATGTATTCTTCACATACACTATCTCATTAAATCCCTGCAACCACTTTGTGGGGTATTACTATAAACCCAGCATTAGCAGATGCTCCATGAATTTAACGGCAGCTTCTCAGGAGGCTCGAGGGGGCCAGAGGGACACCTTAAACATATGCATTGTGGTTAAACACACCCCCAGATCATTTCAGAGAAGTTTATTTATTTATTTATTTATTTATTTATTTATTTATTTATTTATATTTTTTAGAGACAGAGAGAGAAAGAAAGGAGGGGGAGATGGAG